TTATAGAGCAGTGAACTTTCTCAGATCATTTCTTCTGACAACTCAAAAGAGGTGATTTTGTCCCTTTTCTCTTTCTGTTTTCTTCCAAGTGCTTGGAAGATAGGTTGCTCAGACCGCCCCAGCTTTTAGCCTGGCTCTGGAATCTTACAATGATACCATCCAGAGAACAGACGAAGGTTGGGGCTTTATTCTCTTGTGGGTCAGTTTGAAGTTGGAGTTCCTTTACTCTGAATTGTTAAAACTCATGCTGCTCCTTCTGTGTCCATGTATAAAATGAGCTGTGACTGCTGAGGACTGTTCTGGTGTCCTGTTGTCTGTGACTGTTTCTAGACCTCTTTATGGAGGCAGCATGCTGTAGTAGAAGGAAACCATACGGTGGAGTCACGCCAGCATTAAGTGCACGTTTGCATCTCCATGTGCAAGACCATCCTGACCACGAGCTGGACTCTGTGGTCAGCCCACACAATGGGTGTGGAGGGCTCGTGTGCAGGCAGACAGCACAGCGCCTATCTGGGGCCCATTCCTGTTCCCCCTTCTTGACTCCCTTACTTAGGAGACACTACAGCCTCCAGCAGGAGTGTTGAGAGAAAAGAGCACAGTGCTCCGTGAGTTGGTGTCTGAAGAGTGTTGCACTGAATTAAAACCTTTGGAATCACTTTGTGAAATATTTATGGATAGACTGTATCAGAAATTTGCTTCAAGATAATCCAGATGTGGCAGGTGGCGGAGTGGAGTAAAGATGAGGCTACTGTATAACTTGTCCAGTCCCAGGCAGGCTTGAGACTGAAAGAGGGGGCTGTTAATGACACCAGGACAACAAGCTTAAAACATGATTGTCCCAACAAACCAAGACATGGACACCCCAGGGGAAAATGAGTTGATCACTGTTGAAGCTGGGTGCTGAGTACTTGGGAGTTTATTATATTGTACTTTTTGTCTGAACTTTTTCATACTAAAAAGGTTTTGTAAAAGGATATATAGCTATCAGACTGCTGAAGCATTTGGAAGCCCCCACGGTGCAGGAGATGGCTGTTGGGTTCCTAGGCAGCCCTGCCTGGGGTAGAATGCCGCATGTCACCCCTCTGGGCACTTCATGTTAGGGCGGGGTGGGGAGAAGGGCCCTGCCTTCTCTCGCTGGTAGGAGGAATGAGAAACTTCGAGGGTGTTCTAGCCGAACACGACTTGGTTTGGGGGCAGCAGAGGGGAAGGGCTGATGTTTTTCCTATCCCCAGAACTTTCAAGGCCTGCCCAGGTGGCAGCTGCAGCAGATGCTTTCACATTTGCTTCCCACCGCAGTGCTGGTGACAGGGTGCCTGCAGGCTATGCGCATGCACATGTGATTATCACCCACACCCGAATCACAACCCGGGGTTGGGCAGGAAGCAGCATGACCGCAGTGGGTTTTTAACCGACATTCTGTCTTACACACACCATATCATCCAACTGTACCCTTATTGTGGTGTGGCAGGTGCTTAAGGTTGGCATGTAAAAGGTAACCTCTGCTGGGAATGGACTCAAATAACAGTCTGGCATACCCTTAATTTGTCATCTCTTTCCAGTTGTACGGCTGGACCTTTTGCACACGGTTCCACAGAGTGCGATATTCATTCACCCAACAGATGTTTCCAGGAGCCTATCTGTGCCATGCTCTGGGGACAGAGCAGTAAAAGTCTGCCTTGAAGGAGCCTATATTGTAATGGGGGTGACAGCAGGTGTAGTGTGGTGAATGCTAAGAGGAAAATAAAGTGCATTGAGTGGGGAGTGGACAGAGTGGTGGCTGTTTTAGATGGGTGGTCTAAGGTGCGAGGGAACTAGCAGAGAGAGGCATAATGGGGGATTAAAAAGCAAGTGCAACAGCACGGGGGTGCAAGGGGGTCACCTTTCTCACATGCTGCTGATATCAGAGAACTGACCCAGAATACCACCATGTGGAAGTCATTGGTGACCTTGACAAAGGGCAATTTTGAGGTTTGGAGTAGTTCAAGAGGGAATGGAAGGAAAGGGAGGGAAGGCCATTGCAGACAACTCTTTGCAGGTGCTTTTCATTGTAAATGGAGCCATTGCTAAAAGTGTGGGTGGGATAGAGAGAGTATTGTGTAAGGTGGAGGTTAGCACTTGTACGCTGATGGAATAGAGAGGGAAAATGCATTTCTTTAATTTGGGGGGCGCTGGGGGAGGTAATTAGGTTTATTTATTTACTTATTTAAATGGATGTACTGGGATTGAACCCAGGACCTCCTCCACGATACGCACTCGCTCTACCACTAAACTATACCTTCCCCCACCAGGGAAAATGCATTTAATGGAACTTGTTGTAAATGGCCTTCTGGTATGCTTTAGCAAATATGAAATGAATCTGATGGTGAGGAAGAGCCCTGGGGGGCCTGGTTCAGTTTTCTTTTTCCACTTGGAGGTCCCTCTTCTCCATGCCAAAAGTAAGTCACAAGTGTTTGGACTGTTGTCAAAATACGTTTTAACCTGCTTTAATCTTCTATTTATAATCTTTCTCTTGTTATACAAATGGTTTTGAACTTTGGGTTTTAAACCCTAACCCCTTCGACAGTCTAACTCTACAGATTCCTTCCCAAGGAAAACCCACCTACTGCAGAACCTGGAGTGTTGTTTCAGAAGTCTGACGAATCCTCTGACGTCTGTTCCAGAAGTGTCCAGGTCAAGAGGCTGCATGTCAGATCCATTCACTGCACCATCAGTCACTTAAGGCTCTGAAAATGGCAGAAAAATGAGAGCCCTGTGGCCTTGTCTTCTCTCTTCTTCCCTGGTAGATCATCAGTTCCTTGAGGGTAGAAATTATATTTAATGTTTTGCCATGTTTCCTTACCACTTAATAACTGGAATAAAGATGAGTGTATAGACAGACTGACTCAGTTGGTTGCTCATCCTACTTGAGTGTAGCAGCAGATAGCTAGCTGTACGATTTTCAGTGATGCCCCAACGGAGGGTGCCATGCTTCGGTAATTTTCAGTAGAGCCAGGGAGCCCCAGTGGCATCCCCCTTTTAAAATTTGACCCTTTAGGAAAATAACATCTCCTATATTATTTTATATTGGTTTCCTATTACTGCTGTAACAAATTATCACAACCCAAATTTATTCTCTTACATTCTTGGAGGTGAAAAGTCTGAAATGGTCTTACTATGCTAAAATCAAGATGTTGCCAGAATTACAATTTTTCTGGAGGTTCCAGAGGAGAACCCATTTCCTTGTCTTTCCCAGGTTCTAGAGGCCACCTGCTTTCCTTGGTTCATGGCCTCTTCATCCTTCTTCAGAGCTAGCAGCTAGCATCTTCAGATCTCTCTTTGAGATCTGCTTCCCCGATTCTGCCTCCTTTCCCTCATAAGGAGCTTTGTGATGACATTGGGCCCCCTTGAATAATCCAGGATAGTCTCCCATTTAAAAATCCTTGATTTCACATCTCCAAAGCCCTTTTCACCATACAGGATAACATTTGCAGGTTCCAGGGACTAGGATGTGGACATCTTTGGGGGACCTTTATTCTGCCAACTACACTTTTCTATAGCTGTTTACACATAGGTTTTCATTTAGTGGCTAGATTGGTAGTTATTCTTGTTTTACAGATGAGAAAAATGGAAGCTCAGAGAGGTTAGGTTACTTGCTCTTGGCCCCAGTATTCATGACTTGAAGGCTGGAATTCTAAGTCCAGATCCACCTTGTTCCATTCTGTTTGGCTGCTTGTGTTTTCATTCTTATTTCTTCCATGGATTTCAGTAAGTGATATTTGTCAATATTTAGGTTCTTGATGGCAAATATTTGGGGAAGTTGATGTGCTGACTCAAAATAAGGGGATGTCAAAATCTATGTAAAAATAGTCATCAAGGCAAAATAAGTGAAGAAGGAATTCCTGGTTTACATAACCTTCCCATCTCATAAACATACATGAGTCCAGTATAGAGACTTAATATTTTGGCTTAATATTTTGTCCACTGACATGCCCTTGATTTTAATGTTACAGCATATTACTCATAATTTTCTTTGCCAGCCAGCCAGATTACTTAACATTAGGAGATTCCTGACTTTCTTAACCGTGAAACTATTATGAATGAAGATTTAGGCGGTATTGCCATGTTCCTGCCACATTGGAGTCTCTTCCTGTGCCATCCTGGCTCCCCCACCTCTGCCTGTCTCATTTTTGCCTCCCAAACTCCAGGTTGTCAGAACCAATATAGTGTAGTATAGTAGCATGCTTTACCTGTGTTGATAGGGGTTATTCACTGTTTTAGGGAGCTTAGAATTGATGATGCTTCTTGCCCATGCTCTATTTCTGGAAGGTCCCTGGAAAATCCTTGTGAACTCCTTGGTGGTTACCTCATAGCTCTCTAGGGTCTTCCCATCTCTTTCTCTACGGCGCTCAGAGCGATGGATGGCAGAAAAGCAAGAACTGGAGCATGAAGGTTTTGCCCTGGTTGTTCTCTTTGGTGGGATTGATCCCTCTGTTGCTCTTGAGCTCTCAGAACAATGCCCTTCCATTCTTTTGGCCTATTCCTCTTTAGATGCCATTTCAAAGCACAGTTGTGGCCTATAGGCCCGTGTCCTCTGAGTTCCTGCCTCCTTCTTCGGTGCTGGAGGTACAGATAAGGAGAGGGTGCCCTGAGAAGAAGGGGCCAGGTCTAGGTCCAGGCAGGAAGCCAGCAGTGTTCATTCTGCCCAATCACCAGGCTGAACCATCAGTGTTGCTGCTTGCCAGGGCCCAAGCCAATAGTGTTTATGAAGTGAATACAGTAGCACGTGTTCTGCATCCTAAGGTTACATCGGGAACTATGGAGGAGCCTTCCAGCAGACCTTCAGTGACATGACGGCCCAGGCTGTTAGCACCAATAGATGCAAGTTCCACAGCACTAGGCTAGAGACGTTTTTCATTGTGAGCAGTCACTTCGATGTGAATATCATGTCTGTTTGCCTGGTGAGTCCGAGTCCTGGCTGAACACGATCTGATAGTGTGTTCAGACGTTTTCCTTCTTGTCAGTGAGAAATCCCTATCGACCATATGCACGTTGGGATGGACACTGCCTTCAGGAACCCAGAGGTAAATTACTGGACCTGTGTGGATTTCACGTGAAACTTTCCTTCTTTATCCTTTCCCTCTTTGTAACTCTCCTTCTAAGCATGTCCTGGGATGAAGACTCAGGACTCGGAAAAGAGTGTATCCAGGGAAGAGAGAGGCCGGCAGTAGGATGGTTCCGAGCACAGTCCTGTTTATCTGGGAAGGTCCACTGAGGTCACCTGCTACGAGTGAGGCTACGAGCATGGCCATTGTCCTGCTCAGACAGCTCCCCACCCTGGAATCGGAAGAAGTGAGGCTCTCTTCCGTTGCTAATGTGGAGGCAGTCAACAGATCCTCTGCGGGTAATAACTGCCTTATTTGCCTAAAAGCCAGATGTTATGGTTCCCTTTGTCTTCTTTTGAGAGGAGGTGGTCCTTAGCCCCAGTCGATGCTGTTGAGTTTGTGAGGAGAAGGCTGGAGAACTCTGCCTGCTTCTAAGATGTTCTCTGGCATTGCCCAAACACCAGAAAGCCCACTCCAGCAGCAGCTGTGGGTTTGGGATCCAGTGGGCACAGGTGTGTGGTATGTTGGAGAATAGAATGCAGATGGAATTGAGAGGAAAGTACAGTATCCAGCTAGTAACTAGGCATTTCCTGGCTAGTCTTGTCTACCCCTTTGCCTTGCTCTTAGGTAATCACTAATACCTAAAAAATTAAAGAAATTCTGGCTTGACCCTTTGGATACTAGACAATCTTCCTCTTTCAGCAGATGGTCCATCCTTTAATTAAGATATCACCAAAATAAAAGCCAGATTCATCTGGAGATCACATCCACACTTTTTGAGTCATGATTGGATCCCCCTAAACTTGCCCAAGTGTGGTAGCCATGTGACAAGGGATTATGATTTGACATTCATGTTTCCTGGCCATTAGTTGGGAACTTGATCCCCCTCACACTGAGGCTTTCATCTTTTTTGTGTTTGGACTTGCTCATGCTTGGGTCACAGACCATCATGTCCCTGCTTGCCCCTGCCCCATAATCCGTCTCCTCAGCAGTACTTCCAGGGCCTCCCTCTGGAGGAAGCGAATTAGAGGGTCAGAGGGAACAGGACCAATTAGTAGCTGTAGTTCCTGCTCCTGGCAAATGCTTTCTTCATTCTTCCCTTGGCTGGAATGCCATCATTGGGCTCCACCCTGCAGGATCACAGCCCGGACTTGCCGCAGCAGCGGGGTGGGTTTGATGTCATCAGGCACACATCCGTGCACACAGCCTACGTCTCTCCCCTTTGTTCCCACTGTCGATGTCTTCATCGAGCCTGCTCTCGTTTGTAGTGAATGAACAGGAATAGATGTTCTGGATATCTGTAAGGATCCAGTCTGTATGTTTTTTAAATATTTACATCTGTATTTTTCATATATTCATTGATTCTAAGGCATATGCATTTCACAATTTAACAACTCTAAAATCAGGATGCGTCATATCATCACATCTTAAAATTATAATTGGCAGCTTTTTCTTCTCTCTCAGAGGTTCATAATGGTGTCTCTTAAAATTGATGGCATCTTAGAGTCCACAAAATACATTGCATAGGGTCAGCTCATTTTTCCCTTCTTTGCTTGAAGGATTTGTGAATTTCTTCAAATAGGCAGATTTACCAACAAGTCTAAGTGTATTCAAGTTGTACTGGATGCGGCCTGGTAAAATAGTCACCCCACATTTCACATGGCTGTGCTCTGTACAGAGCACTCACTCGTCCATCTTTGGTTGGGTTTTAGAACTATCTTGGACAGTAGGCAGGGCACTATGCAGATATTGCTAACGAGCTTGTAGAAGGCCCCCTGGCTACTGATTAGGAAAGTCTGTTCCTTCTGATTCCTAATATAATTTTCTTTCTTCCAAACCAGTCAGCCTACAGTCTAGAAACAGCAAAAATATGTTGGAAATGGAATATACCATATTTAGAGTAGAGAATGGAGATCACTACAGAGAGAATCTCTATAGTAGGTAAAAATTAGGAATCCAGACACCCACAGAAGAAAATAGCTAAACACAGTATATTATCACTATAGAATGCTTAGACATTGAAAATGACAAGTATGGGGTTTGTTGCTGATATAAGGAAAATGTGTATTTTTAAAAGGGAATATGGATATCCAGGCAGAAGAAGATTTTGGGAAGGTGTGGCCAGAATGAGCTTCTCATCCCTTTGACTCCAGTGCCAACCATTGACCTCCTCCAGCAAGCAGGGGCAGGCAGGGCCCAGAGGACTCAGAAAGGCTGAGCTCCTAAGCAAATGCTGAGACAGAGAAGTTTTGGAGGAGATAAGAGGCCTAGAAGATGAAACCAAGACACTGGATACATCAGTAATAGGAATCCTTAGAAGGAGAAAAACATAAAGGAAGGGTGTATCAGTCAGGAGGCTAGAACCAGGTTATAATGTAATAGCAAACAGTCCTACATGCTCAGTAGTTTAACTCAACAGGTTTATTTTTTCCTCTGCAATGCAGTAGCAAGTACAGGTCTGAGAGGAGTGGGCTTTGCTCATTGTTTTTATTCAGGAATGAAAGGTAATAATAGAGGCTTTGTCTCAATACAGCGGTGCAGGTAACATGGTGAATCATGAACTAGTGCTTAAAGTTGGCTTGGAAGTGCATAGATCACTTGTGCTTCTGTTTCACTGGCCAAAGCAAATTTCAAACCCACCTTTAACTTCAAAGGGAGGCTATTGTGGTCCTGCTGTGTAGCTGGAAGGAGGAAAGCTAGAAATATTTGGTGAATGGCACTTGTGACTTACCACTAGGTGAAATAATTAAAACATATATAAGTGTGTCCTACTAAAATTTCTCTGCCCTTAGGATACACAGAAAAATCTTCCAAGTTTTTAGGCCAAAGGAACATATTATTTACAAAGGAAAAAGAGTCACACTGGCATCAGATTTTCTATTAACGACACCAAGAAACTAAAAGATGGTAGAATTTTATCTACAGACCACTGAGGGATAAAGAAAGGCAACTCAAGAATCCTATACCCAAGCAAACTTTTGTCTAACATAGTACTGGAAGTCCTAGCCAGAGCAGCTAGGCAAGAAAAGATAAAAAACACATGCAAATCAGAAAGGAAAAAGTAAATTATGAGATGACATGATATTATTATAGAGAAAACTTTAAACTCCACTAAAAAGTGTTAGAACTAATAAACAAATTCAGTAAAGTTAGGGAACTGTCTGGGAAAGAAAATAAAACAATCCCATTATGATAGCATCAAAAAGAGTAAAATACTTTTAGGAATAAATTTAACCAAAGAGGTGAAAGATCTGTATACTGAAAACTATAAGACATTTGATGAAAGAAATCAAAGAAGGCACAAATAAATGGAAAGACAATCTATGCTCATGTATTGAAAGAATTAATACTGTTAAAGTGTCCATACTACCCAAAGTGATCTACAGATTAAATGCAATCCCTATCAAAATTCCAGTGGCATTTTCTGCATAAATAGAAAAAAAATCCTAAAATTCACAGATTTACCACAAAAAATCTTGAATAGCCAAAGCAATCTAGAGAAAGAAGAATAAAGCTGGAGGCATCACACTTCCTGATTTCAAACCATGTTACAAAGTTATCATCATCAAAACAATACACTATTGGCATAAAAACAGACAACAAAGACCAATGAAACAGAATAGAGTTCATTCTGAATGGAATAGAATGAATAGAGTAAAATGATATAACCCAGAAATAAAACCATGCATATATTGTCAATTAATTTTTGACAGTGAAACCAAGAAAACACAATGGGGGAAGGATAGTCTTTTCAATAGATGGTGTTAGGAACACTGGATATCCACATGTAGAAAGAATGATACTAGACCCCTATCATATAACCATACACAAAAAATCAACCCAATATAGATTAAAGACTTGAACATGAGATCTGAAATAGTAAAATCTTGTATTGTATAACTGAAGTTTGTTAGATCGTAAGCATTCTCTCAAAAAAAAAAGTAAATAAGTGACGTGGTGGATGTGTTAATTCGATTGTGGGGGGTCCTTTCACAATGTATACGTATTTCAAGTCATATTGTGCACTTTAAATGTATTAGAATTTTGCCAGTTATAGCTTGATGAAGCTGGAGGAGAAATCCTATACTCAAACAAGATACCCATTCATCTGTCAGAATAAAAGAAAGGTATTTGAGCACAGACAGGGAGTCAGCATGTTCTTGTCACCTGTTGCCCTAGTACTTGCTGTGCCCAGTGACTCAGCCCTTGGTATCCTTATAACACACAGGTCACCCCCTCACAGGGGTTTTCCCTGAACCCTGAAGCTAAATTAGCACGTGCACGCACGCACACACATGAGCGCGCACACACACATGAGCGCACACACACACCTCTCACTGTCTGACACTTGTTCCAGTGTTTTATTATGAAAACTTCAAACACACAGAAGAGTTGAAAGAAGTTTAAGTACCTTACTTTTTGATGCATTTTGTTTTAATTCAGACAGTTAGTACACTTCCCTTTAAATGTTTCAGTCTGTCTATTCTTAGCTACAGTTCAATGTTTATAGTTTTTTTCTGGTTGGGGTAAAATTTACAAACCATGAAATCTCATATCTTAAGTGTACATTCACTGAATTTTCACAAATGCGTGCATGTGTGTAACCCAAACCCTTCTCATGATACAGAACATTTTCATCACCCTGGGTTTTCTCATCCCTTTTTTAGTCAATCTCTGCCCAACTGCTACTCCGTAGAGACAACCACTATTCTAATTTTTTTTCCCTCCATTGATTAGCTTTCCCTGTTCTAGAACTTCATGTAATTCCAATTATATGTGCTCTTTTATGCCCTTCCATTCAGCAAGTTTTTAATATTCATCCCTGTTATGTGTATCAGTAGTTCATACTTTTGTTTGTTTTTATGAGGGGGAGGTAATCATGTTTATTTATTTATTTCTATTTGGAGGAGGTACTGGGGATTGAACCTAGGACCTCATACATGGTAAGCATGTGCTCTACCACTTGAGCTATACCCTCC